CAGAACTAACACTCAAGCCACCTTAATAATTTCTACAATTCAAAATACTCATAAAGCTGCTTTATAGAAATTTTGAAAAATATCACTTTTCAAAAATATCATCTTTGCAAAAATAACACTTTTTAAAAATTATTTATTCAGTATATCATATATGTTTGGGTTAATTAACTATGTTGTATTATGGTTTAGTTTTGAGAGTTTAGGAGGTTTTAGGGGTTAAAAATATTTTATAGGGTTTAGAATTATAATTAGATTTAGGTTTTAAAAATTCATAATTAGTGGCATTTTTGCAAATGAACAATCCATAGTGATATTTTTACAAATGTACAACCAAAAGTTGTTGACAAAAAAAAAAGTACACACCAAAAATGATATTTTTAAAAATTTCTCAAGCATCCGTATGACACGGATCAATCACTTTGTTTTCATTTATTTACATGCATGTTTTACACATCACATAAATACAGTATAATAAAATTACATTTTTTACATCAAAATTCATTTAAAACGAACATATATATCACTCAATCGTAAAATGCACTTAAAATTTTGATGCTAGAATTAAAATATGAATAAGATACAATATAACGTACGTAATACAAAAGAAAGTTTTGTTTAATTCAACAAAAGAAAGTTTAATTTAACTCATTTCGCCGATTAATCTGGCGATAGCAGAGTATGTCCCGCAGCAACCGCTCACAACGCCAATAATGACGATGAAAATACAAACTCCGATCTGAAAATCAAACTCTTTTCAATCAAAATATGTCATAATGAATAAAAATAGGCAAAAAAAACAATCAAAGATTTAGTTAAATTCTTACTTGAAACTTAGTTAATCTACCCTTCATAATGCTGAGATAACATAGACACGGGAATATTAACCCCTGAGAAAGATGAATACCGAAAACATAAAGAACTTGTTTTTATCCGTTAGTTTTCGAAATGAGATTTGATTTGTTTTATTGGCGACTTACGATAAGCATTGCGATGAAAGATCCAATAAGAGCCGCGACAGTAGCTGAAATCAACGAGTTTGGTCATATGTTATTGTTTTGTAGAAATGTGTTTCTTGAGCAAGAAGTTAGGGTGAAATGTGGAAATGAGAAAGAGAGATTACCGAAGAATGGGACAGTGAGTGCAATGACCAAAGTAGAGAGAACTAAGATGGTTCTAAAGAGAATAGACACGCCTTTTGATCTCATCTTTCTTGACGAAGACGGTATGAGTTCTTCTAGGCTTAACACTACTGGAGTGAGGGTTAAAGCGTATTTCGTCATTGGCGTAACGACCTAATTATAGAAAATGCGAAAGGAATTGAGAAAAAACATAAGTTGGAGAAGAGATGAGTACGTTTGTCGATTCGAAAAGTTATCTAACCGCTGTCCAAACCGCGATTTTAGATGAGGTGAAATGTTGAGGCATGTTCAATGTAAACTGGGATTGAATCTCGTCACCAAACATTGTGAATCCACAAATCGATACAGCGATGTAAAATAGCGTGCAAAACCCAAAGCTACATAACACAGAGAAGAGATTGAAATAATCTCTAATTAGAGATTTCTTGTACCGCAAGCAAAGTTTTTTTCTTACCTCATGAGAATCACCATTGGAAATTTGGAAGGCTCTTTCATGGATGAGTAAATGTTGGGGAAAACAGAGTGACTCCCAAAACCAAACCCGTAAATTCCGATCGCGACAGTTAATTTAGTTAGATCAAGAGCTTGTCCTTGCAGTTTAAATCCAACCCCGTCTACAGAACCGACCCAAAAGAGGCAAAGTGCAAGCAAGATTGAAGAGAAAACACCTCCGGCTAAGAAAAATAATGAATTAAGAGTCAAACTTAGAACTAAAAATATCAAATCTCGGAGATATTTGTGCGATTCATGAGATAAACCTGAGATATAGGACAATAAGCTAATTAAGGTCTCTAAGCCAAACAGTCGGAAGAACCATAAGAGTTGTGGTAATGGCGAAAAATTGATTAGAGTTTAGAGATATTCCGGTGATATATAAGGAGATATTTGGGAACATCCCTGACAAATTATCACTCATCATGATTATGTATTCCACACAAGTTGCCTAC